ATCAATGACAGGATAACTCAAATTTCTGCTAACGGTCATACAAACATCACTTCCAGTAAATAAGTTAACAACTCTTTGCTGTAATGCTTTGGATGTTTGAAATAAAAATTTCTAAGTCCAAGTTCATTTGTGCACATCAACCTGGATACGGATTTATCCTGATAATGAATCTCAAAACGCAAGTTTTGAGTTTAACCATGAGCGGTACGTACATACATGCATACTCACTTACTTACACATGTTACTCCCAATGGAGCATAAGCCGTCAGCCAGTATTCTACAGCCGAATCTGTCCTGGGTTTCCCCTTTCAGTTCCGTTCAATTTTTGTTCATTCTTCTCATGTCTATCTCCAATGTGTTACTTGGCCTTGCTCTTTTCCTTTTATCATGAGAATTCTAATTGAGGGCTTGTCTTGTGATGCAGCTGGGTGTTTCCCTCAATATGTGACCTATCCACCTCCAAAACTTATTCTTAATTTCTTCCTCAACTGGTATCTGATTTATTCTCTCACACAGAAGGTATCCGACCAACTGCATCCGAAGTATTTTGCGTAGATAACTGTTAATAAATACTTTTATCTTCTGCATGATGACTTTGGTAGTTAGTTCTTCAGGTTCCCGCTCCTAAATGTTAGCCATTATTCTTTTACTCTTCATTCTATTTTAATAAAACACATGAATACGAACGGGTATCTCAGTATTTATGGGCCACACAAACTGTTGAATTTGTGAGTAGGTTGTCCGAATGTCCAAACTAGAGCAAATGATTTTCTTATAGGGCCACTCCCTAAGCCTTTTACTTAGAGGTCTAATCCATAAGACAGTAGAGCGATGTCAGGAGATGCAGTCCCTCGATAGCTGGTGACCAACAGTGAGGCCCATAAGCCATTTATTCCCTCAAGACCCTAGAACTCACGTGCACCATTTTATTGTACATATTCTGTATGTTTTGTCTTTTTCATGTCACAATTACTACCATCATTTGAATTCCTCCATACTAATAGATCACTACCTAAATAAAGAACTTGTTAAATAATCTTTCTTAAATAGTTAAGTGTTACAAAAAAAAGAGGAGATTAATAACATGATAACAATAAATTCAAGGACTTGTTAATTTCTCAGTCTAATGTACACAAAGACAGAGATTAGACGGATCCACTCAAATCTATCGTTAATTGATTAGTTTCTAACTGTTTTCTTTTAATTTTATACTTTTATTTTTCAAATGTTTACTTTGAAAAAAAAAAAACGAAAAACAAATTTTCTTACATTCTAATTTTATTCATGAATGAGGTTTATGAAGGAGAGTTTTAATTTATCATCATTCAACAATAACGCATGTTCAGTACACATTGATCAATGTGTTATATAATATGTTGAATGGTTTCTTCGTGTTTCAAATACTTTTGGTATATTAACAACATAAGTAAGTACTAATAAGTACTTATCAATTTTATGAAGATTAGATGTGTACATATATATTAATATATATATAATCTCACACTTGAAGGACAGAATAAATTATCTGACAAATTTTATTAGGAAGATAAATGAACATAGTAACACATGTGAAGTATATATATATTCGATAGATCAATTGAATAGATTTGTAAATTTGTTGTTTGGTAATTTCTGTTAGGATTAAAATAGATTCAGGTTGGACTTTATGAAACTTCACGGGATTATAAACTAATTGAATATGAAAATATCCGAAAAAGAAAGTGTCAGTAGGAGAGACATTCAGCAGTGTGAAGATAACATAATACACTGAAATCATGAATCAATCATTGTTGGATCACCATTGGAAAAATACCTGGAAGAACTGAAAAATGGCCGTTTCTTCCTAGTATAGGACCCATCAACAATGCGCATCCACAACTCTCGCTCGTGGGAATCGAAACAAGGATATTCGATCTCACTCGTTAGCGCTTAACCTCGAATATCCAACTCGTTATCTAACAAGTCTATTGAGCAACTAGTTTGTGTGACAAGCATGAAGTTTAGTGTAATTTGTAGTTCTGTGAATTATCTAATTGGTGATATTCTTGACTGGAACTCTATCAGTCTTAGTTGACATATGTACGTCTTGTCCCGATTACCCCATTATAGCCATTACATCGCAGACACGAACTCGGCGGATAATACCTTAAACGTTTCAGTTGAAAGATACTTGGTTCAAGTTCAGTAGTAAACATTAAAATTAGGATGTACCTTTACTAAGAAAAAGTATAAAACATTTTAATTAGTAGAATGTTATAACACTTATTCTTTCAAACAAAACTCAATCAATGTACAGTTCGCATGAATATAAACTATCATTGTTATAACGTTTTTTTTTTCAACAAATTTAAAAGTAGTTTAATTTTTTTTATTAAAGTTTATATTATTGCATTGTTGGCATTCAACACTGAACATTAATGGATCTCTGTCGGTACATTCGCCTTTCGAAAAGGATTCATCGATAAGGAATTTTGATTACAAATTGATTATATCACGCGGTAACAGTGGTATTCAGGACGGATGTCTGGTTCTATTTAAAACTTATTAGCTGGTAGTAATATTCATACTGAGACTGAAACTTACTGTCTAATTGCTTTGGTAAGAATATGTTGTTCACTAAATTATAGACTTATGAAGACATGTTAATATTCGAAGCGGGAACTACTGAATCCCACTGTTATGTTCGTCCCTAGGTACGCTTGAAGCTATATTACGAGTTCTTCTTAGTCGATAAACGGGAACGAGACAATTACCAGCATCAGGATAGGCTACCATGAATCCCAAGCTGTAAACAGAAGACTTGGTAAGCGTAAAAAGTATATTCTACAAACACCCAGCAAGCACAATACAATCAAGCACACAAATCTCGTTTATTTATACATCATAGAAACGTCCTTGGGGCAGTTACGAAAATAGCACACTAAAATACACAGCAGCCAATCACAGCCATGGACTTTGCTGGTGGGAAATGAAATCTCAAGGTCAACTGATCAGCCCATGCTGGCAAACGTGAAATTCAAAATAAGGCATTTATCAAGCGATTTTTGGGGATCTGACATCCCCAACACCCACTTTCGAAGTGATTATCATTCTTAAAATACAAATAAGTTCAGTTGATGAATATCAATAAGAAGGTTTTTCCTACAATTTGAAATTAATCAAAATAATAATTTCATAGATCTTTTAAATATATGAATTTTTCTGAATTATTTTATGCTATTCGTTACATAAACGTATATTTGTCTTCATTCAAATTTCAAGAGAAACCACTGTGTTTGCGCGCATTAAAAGATTAAAAATAGTTATATCTGCAGCCGATTTCTTAACATGGATTAATAAGTCATTACACAGGACAACCAATTTACATCAGCTAACTTTACAATAGTGATCAATTTCCAAATGTATTTCCAATGTATTAAACTTCACTTCAGTAGCTAAATGAATAGCAAGATAGTGTTTATAGCGAATGGTGCTGGGTTTGAGTCTCGGAAAAAACATCAACTCTGGAATGTCGCATGTTCATTCAGCTGATGAGTCCCAAAATGGAACGAAATGCGCGTTCCAGATTTCACTGCAAATCAATGTCCACCTTTGCATGCAATGCTTGTGATCTAATTTGCTGAAACGAAGCAAACCCAACGGGATGTACATTTGTTCAATGGGACTGATCAATTACAGTCCTAACTATCAAATTTCCAATACAAGTGAGTTAATTAATACTTACTTAAGTACAATATATCAGGAGATACATTTACTGACTACTTACTTAGCTGAAACAATTTTCCTGTGAAAAGTGATCAATACATAAACATAAGCAATTAAGTAATGCCTGAATTGTCTACTGAACTCGTTTTCTTAAAATCAATGATTTTTCGTATTTTTAACCAATCCTTAGTTTTCTCATCCTTGACACCTCTCTCAAATTATGTATTCCAAGGGAATATAGCCTATTTTGTCAACTTCAACCTATGGAAAAAAAAAATTGATTTTTCTCATTTTTCCCCCTCTATTTTCTCTCTCTCTCTCTCTATCTATCTCTTTACTTTTCTCACTCTCACTCTCGATGAGTGTCTGTGTGTGTGAGAGAGAGAGAGATTTGCAACGAAAAATTATATTCTTATCTAATCCTCTGTTTGTATTTTTTTACTCAATAAGCTTGAAATTTTTATCGCTTCTTTCATACCAGCCTCTCTCTTTCCGTCTATCTCCGTCTATGCGACGATACACACCACACACTACAGAGAGAAAGAGAGAGAGTTTTCTTTCTAACCCCCTTTTGTTGTTGTTGTAGTAGTTTATTCCATAGGCTTATTACAACCTCCCCTTTGTTGAATGTATACATATTATTTTTAATGATATGCGTAAATAAATTCATTGACCAGTACAATTTTTCAGTTAATCCATACAAGGTTGTTTTTAACCAATCACAAATGATCATTGTAAAAACTATTTTCACTCTTATCTTTTCTCTCAGTACAATTTGATTACGAAAATAGGAGGTAATCGGCAAAATTTATTATTATTATTATTATTATCATTAAGTTAAGCTTACATGTGTCTGCCTGACTGCCTTCCTCTATATCACCATGTTCAGTATCGTTCGCTTTTGATATGATATTCCAAATACTATCTACACCTACCCTATGATCAAATACTAACTATAGAGGAGTAGTTGGTTGTCTTTTCTTTTTTGAAAAAAAATTCCGATAGTCAATATGTTTTATAAGCTTATTATTGCTTAGTGAACATCTACATACACTATTGTATAATTTATTCACATTGGTATTCATTGATTAAACAGTTTGTTGTGTAAAGAATTATTTTGTACAGTAATTGCGCGCTCGCACACACAGTCACACACACACACTCACATACATACACACGCACACACCTATACTCTAAACCAACTATCTACAAACTTATAGAAATTGTTGCGAATGTACTCTCATGTATTTTGCTCATTCAATGAATGATTGAACAAATGAATGAATCCACTGTTAATGGGAACATATCAAACTAATTTGAATATTGACAATACCGAATCATTATCATCTCAATCGTCCTCGTCGGCATCGGCATCAGCATCTGCGTCAGAATCATCATCACTATCCCTGTCTTATCGATTCAATGAACAATTGGCTAATCATTATAATGAGGAAGACAATCAATCAATCATTATTCATCATGCTTCATTAAATTTACTGGATAAAATAAACTCGTCAACACTGCCAACAACCACAAATACTGATGTAACAAAAAGGTTTTCATTTTCCAATGCTCCTTTAGATCAATCATTAAATATGATTCATCACAATAATAATAATAATGATAAAAATGATCAATTGGATGGAACTTACGATTTGAATCCTTTATCTTTGCTGGAAAGTGCATGTTCACTAGCCTGTGATTATTCACCTTTATTTGCATTGACAAATTCATTGCATCATTTTAAACCGGACACATTGATTACTAGTTCTTCTTCTTCAACAACGCTAACAACTCAGACGACTACCAGTACGACGTCGACTATTTCTAGTAGTAGTAGTAGTACTACTACTACTAATACTACTTCTAGTTATTGCCAACCTAAAGATTTACAAATAATCAATAAAAATAACAGACGTCATACAGGAGGAGTAAGAAATCGTTTGAAATCTACCATAAAAAATCAACCGCTCTTTTCAAATCCTACGAAACATTTCATTGGTCTACCATCTTGTGATAATATCGATATTAATAGTAATCAACAATCAATAACATGGTCGAATGATCTCAATAGTAATCGTAGTGAACATTTACTTCAACAGCATGATTTACCATTATCCTTATTTACAAATAATTCCGAAATGATCACAACATCACTATCACAAAATCTTTTAAAATCAAACAATATGAATAGTCATACCATGAATTATACTACTACTGATATATTGTATAATAGTAGTATTAGTAAGACAATGGACAATATCACTAATTCTCATGTTATCATCAATGATAATATTCATTGGTTACCACCAACTAATAAAACTAGTGGAAAAGATTACAATCCATTGTGTATAAATGATCAGTTAATGAATTTCACAAAATTTTCTCCATCATCAAATCCTGAAAATTATCATTTACAATATACAGAACCAAGAAATTGTGAAAACAACGCTGAACCACATCGATTCGATGCAGAATTGTTGATAAAGTGGAGAGGTAATGAAACAAACTATCATGAAAGCAGTAATAATAATAATGGTAATAATAACAACGAATACTTTAACATTGACAATCGACATCAAACAACTACCACTCAAAATTATTTAGACACAAATAAAAACAATTTATCAACCAGAGTCTATAATGAAGACTTGGCATTACAGAAAACAAATGATTTACACAATAGTTTACTTCATTGCAATACCAGTAGTGATGAAGTATGTGAAAAGAAGACAAAACAATCTATAGTAAATTTACAAGAAAAAAGTCCTTCAGAAATAACACATAAAAAACATGCCAATTATTATGAGAAAAAAATGAAAACATTTCATTTACAACAGAAAAACATGGAAAACAATGATGATGATCAACGCAGGGATGCTTTATATGATGATTCAATGAATACGGCTTATTTCAATAATTCAGCTGATTCAAAAATGGATTTGAACAGAATTCAAACATTTGTAAAACCCGCCGAAAAATTGCTGCATTATTCAATGTCCAATAACGATAATTTGTCCAATTTCACAATCTGTTCAACGCCAAACTTATTTACAATGACTAATTTAAATAATAATAATAATACAAGTCAAATATTAGGTATAACCAATATTTCTAATTCAAATGTAAATACTGATCAGATAAGAATGATTTCAAATGAATTTCAAAATAATCTTGATACATCCCTACATAGTTTAGCACAAACTACACCAACAGATTCATCAATACAAATGAATGAAATGAATTTCAACAATCAAACATGTAATTATTTATCTCCAGTACAATCTAATGAATGGATCGATTCTAAGATATCAAAACATTTAAATATTGACCAGACACTGTCATCATCACCATTCACTACAATAACATCAATAATATCAAGGAATACACCATTGAATTCTTGGAATTTAGATAATCATGAAAATTTGCAATTTTTAGATAATTCATCACAAAAATTATTTCATCCTAATGATCATTTAAATAAAACAGATTACTATGATCCTCAATTGAATGAAACTTATCTACCTACATATATGAATTCGAATCAAGCATCTATTTACTGGCAACAACAACAACAACAACGAGATCATTCGGACGAACATGAACTAAGTCAACATAATCAACAAGTTAATTTATTCAATCTAACAAACTCCTTAACGAATATTTCACAATCAACAGATTTAAACAAGGAATCATCACTACAACAGAAACATGAATTCAAATCGTCTAATATGATATTGCCAAATCCTGTCAATGAATTAGTAACTGTATATAATAATAATAATAATAATAATAGTAATAATAATGATAATATAAATCCAGTTGTAAATAAAAAATCAAATCTTCACTCTACATACGATGAGAATCAATTCAATACACTTTTACATATCAATTCGAATTTCATGGAATCTTCATCATGCTTGTTTAATTCGTTAGTATACAATCAAAATTCAATTGATTTTACAACTAATAACAATAATATTAATGATAATAATAATAATAATAATAATAATGTTGTCTATCATATGAATTCCATATCAGAATCCACTCCTACATTAAATGATCACATATCAATTGATTCTTCATTGTCAACACTACCAATCTCATCCTCGTCCCCTTCATTATCATCCGCATCGTCAACATCGTCATCAACATCAACAACAACAAATATATTCAATGGAATGTTACAACAACTAACATTACCATCGAATTCACTGTCATCCATATCGACAACTTCGTCGATTGCACTGACCAACTCAACAAATCATCCAGGTAAATTATTTACTAATTCTGCACGTCAAAACTACCAGTCATCAAATCGATTATCGGATGAATTAATCCATATGACCGAATCCTATTCACCATCTTCTTCCACGTGTATTCTACCACAGTTGCGCGGATTCAATGAATCTTTAACAACAATGAATGGTATTGATTATTTTCCTAGTAATAATAGTAATAATAATAATAATCGAACTGATGAAATCATACATACAAATATACTTGTCAGCACCAATCATCATAACAATTCCATCACAAATGATAACAACAGTAATAATACTACTAATACTACTAACAACAATAATAATAATAGTAGTAGTACAATCATTTCTGGAACAAGTGAATATCCATCAGCGGATGATTTAGAAATATTTGCAAAAATGTTTAAACAACGTCGAATTAAACTAGGCTATACACAAGCTGATGTCGGTCTGGCGTTAGGTACATTATATGGGAATGTATTTAGTCAAACAACAATATGTCGTTTTGAAGCATTGCAATTATCATTTAAAAATATGTGTAAATTAAAACCATTATTACAAAAATGGTTACATGAAGCAGATTGTTCCACTGGTACAACTAATAATCTTGACAAAATCACTACACAAGGACGTAAACGTAAAAAACGGACAAGTATTGAAATTGGTGTGAAAGGTATATTAGAAAATCATTTTATGAAACAACCAAAACCATTAGCACAAGATATTATCCAATTAGCTGATGTATTAGGTTTGGAAAAAGAAGTTGTACGTGTATGGTTTTGTAATAGACGACAAAAACAGAAACGTTTAAATCCTTTATTACTTGGTTCTGCGTATGATTCAAATGAAGATGATAGTACGTGTAGAAGTGAGAATAATGATGACAGTTATGAAGATGATGATGATGATGATGATGACGATGAAGATGACGATGATGATGAGGAAGAGGAACAGGAGGAACGGCAGGAAGCGGCAGCAGATACAGAAGGAAATAATCAATTGGGAATGAATAATAATAATAACAAAGATAATCTATGCAATAACAGTACTAATAACAATCACGATGAAAAACATCTTGATATGCCTATGAAAGAAAAACAAACTACCATTAATCATATCGGTGATAATGAGATGAACTACAGGAAATCAGAGAACATTCTAGAAAATGAACATAGTCTATTTGAACATGAGCATCATCATTCCGATCTGTGTGACAATCAATCATTAAGACGTAGTTCAATCATAAAACGTACTAAACGTCGCCTGAACCAGTCACTTACTCCTATCAGCGTAAATTGTAATTATACCAATGATCAATCATTAATTAATTCTGTTCGTCATTTATATGGAACAACAACACCATGTTCATCATTGCTGTTACTGTCGTCCACATCATCGCCATCCTCTTCAATGTCAGGAATTATGCCATCATCTTTATTGCCTTCAGTGCATTCTACATTTCATGTAACTAATTCAAATCAACTTTTTCCTTCTAACTATTCTACTTATGATATGAATCATCATACGCCATTACATAACATGTCGTTTAATGATACACAGCAAACTTTGATTAATACAGATCCTATTCTACAAAAATATCCATATATAATGACAGATAATGAAAATATAATTGACAATAAAATAACTCATGAATTGTTAAATTTACCATTGAAATCATTCAATATACATTCTAATGCTACCACTACTACTACCACTACAACTACTACTAGTATTAATAGTAGTAGTATTACTCCTACGAATTCATTGTATGATTCTTGTGGATTATTGAATGACAACAATCAGTCAATGGATTATTTAATGAAAGAACAATTATCAAACATTAGTAGTTGTAATAATAATAATAATAATCATAATAATAATTTAAACTTTAATCAACACCATGTCAATGTAATCACATCCAGTGATGTGACATCGTCATTTCATACGAATCATCTTCATCATCATCATCATCATCATCATGATCATCCTACGAATACATTAGATTTGCTGAATTATAATCAACGTTTAGAAGATCATCTATCCAATTTGTCAACAATCCCTATGACATCATCGTTGAATAATCTGACTGATTTAACTGAACTATCCACATATCCTCCACATGATGAGTCAATGATGACTAGAAGTAATCTATTGACTGAGACAAATCTACTGTCAAATTGTATCAATGATCCGATGAATTACTCGACAGGCATGGATATCAATTTAAATGGATATCATACTGAACCAGTGGTAACAACGTCAACAACAACATCAGCCGCAGCCACAGCCACAGCGTCGACACTCACATCATCAATCATTCCAAATAGTTTTATACATTCAAGAAATTCTAATACCATGATGATTGAATGTAATAACAACGCAATGATGAATGATAATCCCTTGATTTATTTTCATCAATCACAACATCAGTAATGAAATTCAACAATGAAAAGATACAGTTTTATTTTACTCTCTCTTTCTCCCTCGTTTTGTGGAGATTCAGATCATAAACATATTACACACACATATAAATATATATATATCAAATCACAGATACTTAGAAGGCAATTCATACAATTGAATGATTTGCTCATTCGTAATCAGGTGAGTATGGAAGCGGTACAAAACATGAATGAACATTGCCATTCTATGAATGTGTATTATTTTCCTCTTGTTTGAACTGATTGAACAAACAGTGTGTGGGTATTTTTGGTCATCTGTCAATTACATAATGTCTTTCTGAAGTGACAATAACTATTTTCTAAGATTTGTTTATACATTTTTAGATGCATATATGAATCAACATTGTTATATACATAATTATGTTGTACATTATGATGTAGTGAAATGTAGAGTAAAAAGCATAAACATTCAACTATGAGCAATGTAGTAGTTTATCAAAAGTTTATGTTTAAAACACTAGTATTGTTATATATTTTTTTAAAATTCACCAGCTTACAACATGATTTAGTGGTAGATTAATAATATTGACTGACTAGCATGAAAGAATGAATGATCAAATGGAGAACTGACCAACTGATATCACGTATTGATTTTTTAATGAAACAAGAATGCTATGAAGAATACACCAAAAAATAATTACAATGTATATATAAATAAATATACATATATATTAAATAAATAACAATATATTGTAATAAACTATCTATCTATTTTAAATTCTTTTGCAATTTGTTTATATTTCTCTCCTCTTTTTTTAAAAAAAAAACATAATACAATCAAAATTGAACATTGATCATTGACTATTGATCATCAAAATAATGCGGACGCTTTAAATTTACATGATTCAGCTGTGCATAGTTTCATTCAATGTCACATTAATTCTTCCTTCTTTCGTTCTTATTGTTGATGCATTACAATATATATTTTCATTTCAAGCAAAACAAATTCACATATAATGATGAAAATAAATGTAAATAAAAATCAACATTCACTTGTGTTTTTCTTTTCTCTGTGTATGATTACAATTTTTTGTTTTTATTTTCTCTTCCTCTCTCTCGCTCTCTCTCTATCTCTCTCTCTCTCAGTGATTCCTTCTCATTTTCTCTCTTTTACATGTATTTGTTTTGACTTGTTTTATTTCAATTTTTAATTGAAACTATCAATACCAATGATTTCTAAATTAATATTATGTGATTGAGTTCTTTTTATTTCTCATTTGAATAACTAACTGTATACGGTTTCTTAAGTGATTTCTTAAGTATGAATCGATTATGATGGTTTAGAGGTTAAGGGTTTGTGTGCGAGACCGAATCTCCTTGATTCGATTCCCGTGGGTGAACGGTCCTAGATGCGCACTGTTGAAGAGTCACTTATTGGGACAAAATGATCGTCCAGTGCTTCTAGGGTTCTAAAAATGACCTAACAATGATTGATTGATGAGTTCACTGATAAATAAGAATTTCCATAACTCTATGACTAAAAATCGATGATAATTCATTGTGCACGTAGAACCAACAGACTTTAATATCATGAAATATCAGTATCAATAATAGTACTGTTAGTTCCACTTAACTCTGTATGTGGTGCGCGCTACTTATAAGTAGTATATGACGCGAGTGAAAACGTAATGTCTGGCAGCAGAAGATGGGGGAAGATCAAGAAAGGAAGAGTGGGAACACAATGGAATTTGTATGAAACGCATGAATAGTGAAATGTCAGACAATGGATTGATGTTTTGCAAATTAACGATTTACGATATGGTTTTCCTATTTTACTGAGTAACTCTGTAATTTTCGTTAAATACAATTCGGTTGCCCTCACCTGTATTCTCCTTCACTACACGTGTAGTTCTCAGTAGAATATGATAGATAATAGTTATTTATTTGGAAAGTTTTACGTCTAAACACCAAAATTTTACTAAAATTATTTAAGAATCAAATAGAAACGATTACACATATAGAATGAGCAACCACAGATAACATTCTATGTATTTTTTGAGTGTAAAGTAGATATTTTTGTAGAATAAAAATTTATATGTTAGCTAATAATGAATGGTTAATGTGTTTACTTGAAAAGTTTGTTTTTCAGTTATTACTTTCTTATAGAATCAGAGATGTTTACAATATAAATTAGATAAATAGAGTTATAGTGTTGTAATTCAAAAGTTTTATTTTGTTCAGTTAATATGAATTTAAGTCGAGACTGTTGATAAGATTTCGTTTCACATACTTTACAACATTTCTCTGAAGTAAATCTTTAGTTATTCTTGTTAGATTGAATGTTTAATAAGAGAAAGTAAATATTTTTCAGTCATCTCTATTGTTATCGAATTTCAACTGTCTCTTTACTAGGTTCAATCTTGTGATGGAAATCACCTACATTTAAAAGGTCTCCATAAAACTATCTAAACTGTTTGGAATTAGCTCCTCAATAGTGTTTTGCAACTACTGTTCAGTATAAAATATTATTATTATCTTCTGAACTACAATACAAGTTCTCGTTCATAATGTATACTGTTCTATGTCGATTGTTATTCACTTTAGTCCATGTAGATAGTAAATAACTTCTAGTGCGAATCTTGTCTCATCATTCAGTACAATTCAATAAACACATTCATGTAGTAGAAATAGAAGTTAACTTATTATCCGTCTTCGAGAAATATTTAGTTTTTATACGTTTAAATCATCAGTCAGTCATTGTTAGACAGCCGTTAGAAACCGGAAAGTACTGGACGGCCGTTTCGTCCTGGTGCAGGACTCACCAGCAGCGCACATCCAGAACTCTTGCTACTCTCAGGATTCGAAACCAGGACCTTCGGTCATGCTTGAGAACGCCTAACCTCTGGACCACTGGGCCGGTATCCAACGGTGTTAATGTCTAACTCAGATTGATCTAGAGATTTGTCTTTGGAAGTTACTCCCTAAACTCGACTGGGTTGAACTCCACTAATCACGTCTTTTCACTAGACCTGGGAGAATTTCCTCACGAAGCTAGTCTCTAGTGAGCACATTGCACGATATTTCAATTAGAGTTATGAAGATCAATGTTTTTACACATTGAATTCGTCAGAGTTAGATATTACCACGATTGGATGCCGGTCCAGTGGTCCAGAGGTTAGGCGTTCGCAAGCAAGACCGAAGGTCCCAGGTTCGAATCCTGCGAGTTGCGGGAGTCGTGGATGCGCGCTGCTGGTGAGTCTCGTACCAGGACGAAACGGCTGTCTTTTAGTGACTCCAGGTCTCTAATGTTGGTCTAATAATGATTCATTGACTGATTGATTGATGATTTCAATGTGTAATAACAATAATCTCCATAACTCTAATTGAAAAATATTTAATTAGTCAGTTAGATCGTTTATTCACTATTTTAACTGAGGCTGATTAAATCAGTCACTTGCAATCGAAATATTTACAAAACCTGGCAATTGATTATTCTAACAATTTTAATCACAAAACTAGAATCTGAAATAAAAAGTTAGTTGAATCGTTAGATACAGTTATTTAATTCGTATAAATGTATTATTGTTATGTACTAGAATCAGTAAATTTTGTAATTGCAGACTATAGCATCTGTCTTGAACATTCATGCATATAAATTTTATATATTCATTTGCCAAATGGTCGTCAATAATACTCAACACAATTTCCATTTAATTGTAAATTTTATAAAACTTCAATGGTGCTCAAAATGGAAGTTTGAGCTTATCACTGCAAAAATATGGATGATCCTCTACTCATCCTAAACCTAGCCATAATTGATAAAATTTCATCTTAGTTTCATACATTAGTGGACATTAGTGTTGGGAATGTTAGATCCCCAGAACTCGCTTGATAAATATCTTTATTTTGGATTTATTTCATGGACCGATCAGTTGACCTTGAGATCACATTTCCAACCGACAAAAATCTTTGGCTGTGATTGGTTACTGTGTCATTTTAGTGTGCTATTTTTGTGATTCTCTCAAAGACGTCTCAATGGAGTATAAATAAACGCAATTTGAGTGCTTGGATTCATTGTGTGCTGGCTGGGTGTTTGTAGAATACACTTTCTACGCTATATCAAGACTTCTAGCTGATACAATTTGGTCAAGGGATCATAGTAGCCTACCTGGACGTTGGTTCATTGTTTTGTTCTCGTTATTCGACTAAGGTGAACCCGTAATAGTTTAAGCATACATAGAGACGAGCATAATAATTAGACTCAGGTATTCCGCCGATAATTTATCGTTTTCAGAACAGGTATCCTGATAGACGTCCAAGTCCTAAGGTCTTTTGGCTTGTATAATTTGTAATCTCTACAAGAACGAGTCGCGTATTTAACTGTACAGAGTGTTCGACCACTTTTCGTATATTTTACATTTATTTTCAGTATTGTTCGCATAAAGGATAAATTAGGTTTGAAATCTGTACACAGGAGACTTTTACACTTCACATTCTTGAGATTGGTTATATCTTAAATTATAGATTCAGATGTTACAAAACGTGGACTCGACTCTTTAAGGAAGAAGGGAGTTAAAACACAAAATACACATTAAACTATCTTTTACATCCAGTGAAGCGATTCATGATGTAGAAACTCCTAGTTCCAGCTTCCATAACTCTTTTTCATTAGCGAAACAATCTCATTCTAAATTTCCTCTCTAAATGAATTATTTTATCAGTAAATTTTCAATACTGTGAAGTAATTTATTATGGCCTATCCGTGCAATGATTTAACTCTCATCCATTGTTTTCTGCATTGAAGTTGAATTCTCAGAAAATGACTTAAATGTGCTGATGCCTGTAAGTATATTACATTCCACAAATGTATTTACAGGGACTATTAATGATTAATTTAATTATTATTGAACCTACTAATTAACCTCCTTACTTGCAGATACTTTAAGCTAAAACTGTAAAGGTAATTAACTTTATCATTAGAACGTCAAATACCTTCTACCTGAATTATGATAGACTTGACTGATCTAGTGT